AGGCCAATAATTTTGGCAATTCTTGTTGAAATAACCTCAAATTTTCCCAGAATGTATAGAAGCAGTTCAAGATTTTATATTTAATGTTTTATTTTTGTTATCTCAATGAGAATCTGCCAGAGAAATGGATTGGGTGTGGTGGAGATGAAGACAGTTTTCAGATGAAATGGCCACCGCTATCATAGGACCTGTCCCCGTGTGATTTCTTTTTTATGGGGAGATGTGAAGGAACTGGTCTATGTTCCCCTTCTTCATGCATTTATGAAAAGTAGAGAATCACTTCCGCACTGGATAATGCTACTGGAGACATGCTACAGCGTGTTTGGCAAGAGCTTAACTACCGACTTGACGTGTGCCGTGTCACAGGCAGTGCACATATTCAACACATATGAAATCGGTCCCATAATAAACTTATGATGTTCAGCACCTAAACTATTCAATTTCATTGAGCTAGACTTATTACTTTTCAAGATAATTGCTTTTAAAAAGGATGTCACTTTTTTTTTGTCACGCTGTGTATATATATAAGTGAACATAGAAGTCAATATAGAGGCACAGTCTGTTTCAGGCTATATGACGATTGCATATAGCATGAAACAGACTGTCGCCTCTAAGTGTTGACTTCTATGTTCACTTTTTATATTTACACACGCTCTATCTCTGATATTGAGCAATTTATCCCATAAATATAGCACACCTTAAGACTATATTTCTTCATATATATATATATATATATATATATATATATATATATATATATATATATATATATATATATGGAAAATTAATGACAAACTTGAATTTTTATATATATATATATATATATATATATATATACATACATGTATGTATGTATGTATGTATTATTTCTATTATTTACATTATTTGGACTGTTATCTTCATCTTCATCACAATATTCACAACGTTTTGGCCGTTGTACGCTCCGGCCTTCTCCAGATGATTGGAATTTCGAACCGAAGCTTTTATTTCGTCCACCGGGGTAGATTGTTCTAGGGGGACGAAATAAAGGCTTCGGTTCGAAATTCCAATCACCTGGAGAAGTCTGGTGCGTACAACGGTTGAAACGTTGTGAATATGGCGATGAAGATGAGGAAAACAGTCCGAATAATATAAATAAGGTAAGTAATCATAATACCTCATCTTAAGAGATATAGACAGATACACACACACTCATATTATATATAATATATATATATATATATATATATATATATATATATATATTAAATTGTTAGAAAAGTGTGTATAAAAACTAGCTGTACAGAAAAAAATGATTTGGAAAAACACCTAATATTTTTGTATATTTATATGTAATATTTATAATACATTTATGCTTACAGAGAATTATTAAAATTAAAATTTATTTACTTTCATGTGAGTTATCCAAAAAAGTCTTGCTTTAACCAGTTTCGCTTTTTGCTTTTCAAAAAGTTTGTAAATGTTTATTAGATTCCCAGGTGGTGACGCTTATGACCGGAATGTAATTAAAACAATTTTAATTTAATAATTCACTGTAAATATACATGTATGATGAATATTACATAACAATATATAAAAACATTAAGTGTTTTTCCAAATCTTATAAGTTATATCTATATACGTAAATCTAGTTATTAATATGCGTAAAATTATATAATTTAACGTATAACAATGTGAACAGAATTTCTTCTGATATATTGCTTGATATTTAACTACAGTAATATTGAATCGGGAGAGCCGAGTTCGAATTCCAATCGAATCCATTACATTTACTTACGTGCTAATACTCTTGGAAAAGGTATGAATCTTCTTCTTGGTAATCTACTGCGGGAAAAAAAATTCTACCTAGTCAGTCGTGTATTGAAAGATACATGATCATCTAAGCGTGCATCACGCATGGCACATAATTGACTGAATATTGATTAATTATTTTAAACCTTTATAAATTAATAAAATGCAATCAAAAATAGGTGGAATATATAAGTGAACATTGAAGTCAACCCTCAGAGGCGACAGGCTGTTTCATGCTAGACGCAATCGTCAGGCGCCTGACGATTGCGTCTAGTATGAAACAGCCTGTCGCCTCTGAGGGTTGACGTCAATATTCACTTTTATATTTATATTTACATACGCTCTATCTCGGATATTGAGCACTTTATTCCATAAATATAGCACACATTAAAAAAAAATATATATATATATATATATATATATATATATATATATAGATAGATACCTCTGTCACTGTACGAACCTTTCGGGTTTCATATATTAAGTAATGGAGGATATGTTAGTTTTTAAAGTTACCATTCTTCATGAAGTTAATTTTGAAATGTATTAAAGACACACTGTCGCGGGAGGGGGCGGTGCAAAGGTATCGTTCCCCTCCTCCCCCCACACCAAATCTATGATACGGGACCCCCCCACTCTACTACATCTCAATTTTCATAAGGTAGTATTCATATAAAATACAAATTTTCTTGTAACCTAATTATGCACAATAATGGACCAAACGCAATATAAGTGATTAATTCGACTAGAAAAATTGAAAATACAATGGATCTAAATAAAAAGAACAGATCATCTCATCTTAAAATAAATCAAAATTGTTTAGTGCCAAATTTTAAAATGACCTTGAGATTTTTCTTGTTAAAAAGTTGATTAATTTCAACACATTCGACATTATGGATAAAAGTGAATTTTATATAGTATTTTTTTTTCGAGTCTTTGCATGAGCAAAACAAATTCGCGGATTTGGGGGGAAAAAACGACACCAGAATGGCGTCATAATCCGCGCAAATTTTCTATCCTTTTATAGCTGTGTTTAGTTTAATTTGTAACGTATGTAAATGTAGGTAGAAAAAAGCAAATGTTGATAAGATAGCGAGAGTCACAAAACACTGCCTGGGCCAACCATTTCAAGCTTGTCCCCCCGGTTGTGGTGTTCGTTGGTAGTACGTACCAGCCCTATATATATATATATATATATATATAATACAGCACATGTATTTGCATATTTTTGTGTGCAACTTTTTACTATACAAGGCTTAACTTTTTTGCAGTAGTAGCGGGGACTGTTATGATATGGCAATTCTCTGATAATAAAGAAAACGACGTTGTTTTTCATAATATTGATTATCTAATAAAAGGCCCAAGAGCCACTCAAAGTAGTGGGCTACTGTGTAGCGTTGCATGAATGAGAGAAAAGGCAAGAAGTGCAGTTCATGAGGTAATGTAGGAAAGATTAGCCATAAACTTGAAGAGATCAAAATTGTAATGATTGGTAAAACACCCTGTCTGTTTCACAAAGCAGCAGTTCTTGGAAAGAAGCTGCCCAAGTGGAACTTACTTTTTACTAGCCGAATACGAAGGGAATCAGGATGATTCATCCTCGTGTAAGTGGCATGGAAGGTCCCAATTGCAAAAGTCAGGACTTCTCAATTCTAATTACTCCTTTAGAGATTTGTTAGTTTCTTCTTATTGCTACTCACTGTGTTTACTTTGCATAAGTCTGTTCATTTGATTGCAGTTAAGAGAGCTATTTCTTTCGTAAGTTGTTTCAATAATTATCACTATAAATGTATAATAGTGTCGCAATGGCAATTCAAATAGGGGAGGAATTGAGAAAACTTTGGATCGCAAGGGGAGGAATATGACCTGATTTAATTTCTACTTTTTTCATTTTACCCATTTGCAAAATTTTAAAGCAAATACATTTTGAAGAAACTCAAGACCAGAATGTTAAAGTTTCACATATTTACTGACATAAACATGGCCTCGAGTCAAACTTGAGCAGATCAAATTAAAATTCATTTAATGAGCTATTTTTGTATAATATCCAATGTTTTCTTTGTTGCTTTGCTTCCAGAGCTTTTTGTTTCGTTTCGTTTCGTTTTTCCTATTTTTTTTTGTCTTTATTTTCATTCCGTTTTTTCTATCTTTCCCCTCTCGGTTTTTTCTTTTTTTTCTCTCTCTCACCCCATTTCGTTTCATATTTGTCTTTTAATTCATCGGTTGTCCTTCTTTTGTTCTGTTTACTTTCTTCCTTTCCTCATCGATATTGCTTTCTCTTGTCTCTCTTTTTTCTTCATTTCACTCTTTCAACTTATTATTTCTTTGAGTTTCGCTTTTTTCTTCTCGCTTCTTCCTTTCCTTTCTTCCACTCACTCAGCTTTGTTTTTTTTACCACTTTTTATTCCCCACTAATATATTTTTGAGTCGGCCTCTCAAAGTTCCTTAAAGTCATTTAATCGGATTTGCTTGACACCTGAACAGGTTGCCGCGACAGATTTTGCTTTGAGCATTTGGGATATTTTTCAACCAATATCTTTTCCAAATTTGGGGCAGCCAATAGACGTAGGAAAGCGGGTTTTTAAAAAAAAAAAAAAAAAAAAAAAAAAAAAAGACCAAAGGAAAAAGAAGAAAAATGCGGAGAGGAGAAAGGGCAAGGAGATAGGTTACTAGAAACAAAAGGGGGTGGACAGAAAAGAAAGGGAGAAAAAGAGAAAAGAAGGATAAATAGAGAACAAAAGAGAGAGAAAAGCGAGAAAGGAAAAAAAATGACGAGAAGGAAAAGGCAGGAAGGAGAAGGGAAGGAAGATAGGAAAAGAAAAATGAGAAAATGTAAGAGAAAATATAAAAAACAAAGAAGAGAGAGAAAGGTAAAAAGAGAGAAAGAGTAAGAGAATAAGATAAGAGAAGAAAATGAAGAAAGGTATGAAGAAGGAGCGCTACGAGGTAGTTAAGTACAAAGAAGAAAATTAGAGAGAGAGAGAGAGAGAGAGAGTGTGAATAATAGAAAAAGAGAGAAAGATAAAGTAGGAAAGAAAGAACTAGATTAAGGAGAGAGAAAAGAAAGTAGGGAAATAGAAAAAAAGGAGAGAGAAAACGGAGAGAGGAGAAAGTAAATGTAGTGGAAAGAAAAAGGACAGATAGAGAGAGAGAGAGAGGAGAGAAAGAAAGGGTAAATTCAAAGAAAAGAGTAAAGGTTATTCACTTACCTAAACATCCAAGTCGGAGGTAAAAGTTGATGCCTTCTCCGACGTGGGCGGCTGTACCTTCGGCCGGAAGTTCCAGATGGCTTTGAGAACTGGCATGTGATGAAGTGGACATTTGGTCTGGGTTGCACGTTTTGGTTGGCGTATCGGACAGGGCGGTCACCTGTTCCTCGTTGTCGTCGCTGGTCGGTTCGGTCGATATCGACTTGTGGAGGTTATCTTGGCTTCGACGGATCGTGATGCGAAGGTTTTTCTCAAAGTACGTGTTTCGCATTCCTCGAAGGAGATGTACGTGGAAGTAGAGAAGGATGGCCAGAGACATCACGTACAGATAAATAAGGAATATCTGAAAAGAAGGAGCAAGAAAGAATGGTCCTTTTACAAGTACGTCACAATATACATACTATATTCTGACCATGCACAAATTCTTCACCACTGTGTATGTATGCTTGCAAGTCTATCTCTCCTTCTCTCTCTAATTTTGAAAATAAAACAGCACTTACCCACCAGGATTTTGAATCCGGATGCCAGGAAAAGCCAACTAACCAATACTTCTGGCTCTGCTATTGCTGAGCATGTAATAAATAGCAATAATTTTGTGGTTAATTTTAGTGGCGACCGTTTTTCGATTTTATCTCGGTCCCACTCCACATTTCACCTCAAGATTCTAGAGTCCTTGTATATCAGATCCCGTGGGCCTTCTCTTTGTAAACAGAGAGAATGCTTACTGGGTCTGAATTTTATTAGAATCTAGTTTCCTTGAAATTCATATATTTTTTTCCATTTCATTCGTTATAATAATTACACGCTTTTATATTTTTTATCCCAGAAAAATAAACTTGATAAGTCCTGGGACGAAACGGGTTGTTCTTTTTTTAGGTTTTTTAAAAAATGCCATATAAACTTTGCCTTTCCTAGCTATTGTTAAATTTCGTACTACAAAAAAACATATATATATATATATATATATATATATATATATATATATGTGTGTGTGTGTGTGTGTGAAAAGTATGGAGTAGAATCCAACAGAACGATAGGATAAGGAACAAATAGGAAAACATTATAAATTTGTTTCGCTTTTATTTAAGCTGCATCAGAGAATAGAAAATTCTGATATAGTTTTTTGCTCGTTTTTCATTGGTTGAACAAACCTTGAGTATATTTGCCCCGTCAAGTAAGTGAGTATAATATTTGGGTGTTTGTATATCACAATTTAGATGGTCTGTGCATGATTTGATTGATAGTGCGTAGGTACGTGCATTTGAGCTTCTAGCATGCATTTTTATTTATGAATGACAGTGTCCGTATTTTGACTGTGGGATGCTTTGTGTGAGAGTGAAAGAATTTAGGTTACACCGGTTGTGGTTGTAGGTAGAAAGCTCTTAGATTCTTTAAGTATGGATTTTATAAAAGTTGGTGTTATAATAAATTGTGTTTGGTTTGTGTTTATTGGTGGCAAAATATTTATCATGATTCCTTCTAAGTATTTTCTACGTAGTAAATTATGTTCTTTTCTAATTAGGGTGACAGAAATAATAGAACTCATAGCCTGTCTTGTTCTCTTTTGTAGCCAAAGAAAAGCAGGAGTTGGTAAATAAAAAATCCATTACTTCTTCTAGTTCTGTTTGAGAGCGCTTTTCTTTAATAAGATTTCTCAAATATTCGGCCCGGTTGACGAAAATAAATATAGTGTTTAAAATAAACGGAGTGTCTACTCAAATATGGGTATCCATTAAAAATAACATTTAAAGTGATAAAAAATGTACGTCCAATAAAGGAAGCCCTCATTCTCTCTCAAACAAAAACAAAATCTAAACAAACCAACCCAATAAAACAAAACAAAACAAGCCACACAACTTTCTTGCGTATCTAGCGAGTCAAATCAATGACGATAATTTGAAAACAGAAGGTCCTTTTACAAACATTTTAGACAGTATCTCAAATCCTTTATTGTTGTGGCTAGGTCCGGATTAAGCCATTTACGTATTAACGCATTATTGGATTATACGTTGAAGCCTAGAATTAATACAGGATTTTTATAAACCCATTTAATAATACCGCATTTTTATGAGCTTATAATTAATAACGGCTTTTTAAAAAGGAAAACTATAATTAATGAGTTTTTATTTAAATTTTTATAACAGATACCAAATTTTTATAAGTTTATAATACCGAATTTTTATAAGCCTATAATTAATACTAGATTTTATAAACCTATAATTAATACCGAATTTGTGTAAAACTATAATTAATAACGGATTTACGGTGGTCATTAATGGTCAAGTAAACATTAAATGAAAATGAAAAGGTACCATAGATTTTCTTCTGAAAGAATTGAGTTTTAAGAATGGATTTTTTATTAATCCGACAGAGAGCGTAAATTTTACTTTTATAAGATTTCTTGAACATTCAGGCCGGTAGGCGAAAATAAATAAATACTGCTTAATAAATAAACGGAACGTCTACGCAGATACGTGAAGCCACTAAAAGTGACGTTTAAAGTTATAAAAAGAATTGAATATAATACTTACTTCAAGGTAATATTTATGTTCACGTTCCTGGGCAGTTAAGGCATCGGCTGTGGAGAACACAACTCCAAGGGCGATGATAATAAGCGCATATAAACAACAAACCAATTTTGTCAGTGCAGACCTATAAAAAAAAAAAAAAAAAAAGGAAAAAAATCAACAAAGCGAAAAATAAAATTAAATGTTTAACGAAAGCCAAGGATTAAATTCATATAAAAAAATCCATGCAAGCAAAGTTTATCGTAACCATTTTTTTTTCTTTATAATTCAAACTAAAACAAGTTCGAAGTGATGTAAAATACGGAACCGAAACAAGTTCCCTTTTGCATGAGTTTCTTTGAAAGAACTTTTGGATTTCAAGTTCTTACCGCAGACATCATGGAGTGCCTTTGTTACCAGTCTAGGGAGTATTTATTTTGCACGAGAGAGATAGAGAGAATGAAATAGAGAGCTAGAGAGAGATAAAGTGAGAGAGAGAGATAAAGTGACTGGAAATACCGTAATATTTTAGCTTGTGGAGCAGACCTGAATGCCAGACCCTGTCAAAGGCTTTTGAGATGTCCAATGCTACAGCACGAGCTTCACCGTTTTTATCTAGAGCATGATAGACTCTTTCATTAGCACATAAGCAGTTGATCTGGAAAAACAAAAGCTGCATTGCTTGTCTAAGAAAAGTCCCTGTGATGAAAGATGATGAACCAATTCATCATTAATTAGGGCCTCTAATAGTTTCCCAAAACGAGGTAAAAGGCTATTAGGGTGATAGATGGGTCATATGGCTCACCAGAGTCCTTAAAAACTGGAGCAACAGACGATGACTTCTAGCAGTCAGGAAAGCGGTTGTCAGCGAATCATTTATTATACAGTTGAGAAAGAACAGGAGCCAGTTCGGGAGCACACTTCTTAATGACTATTATAGCGATACCATCGGGTACAAATGCTTTGTGGGGATCAAGGTTAGAGATGATAGCAGAAACTATGGAAGAGGTTATATGCATATCACTCAACAGAGATTCAGTTCTTCGTCGGAACTTAAGTAGGGATACTCCAAATTAATCAAGGGTAGAGTTTTGAAGAGAATTTACGGGCAAAGCAGCTTTATCAGCAGAGAATGATAACATCTCAAATCGATTGAAGATAGTGGGGAATAGAGACCTTGCACTTATTTAGTACCCTATTTCAGAGCCGCCAGTCATCAGGAGAGCTAAAGTTTTTAGTATTCAGTCATATTTATTTTTACTTTTAATAATCTGTGCTCCTAGAATATGAGACAGTGTTAAATTATAACGCAGATATTGTTCTAGTATTGTAAATTGAGTAATTGTCGGTCAGTATATTATTAAATGTCTAATCTGAATAAAATAATGATTTTTATTTACTAAGCTATGCTTACTCTCATACAAGACTCCAAAGCGTTCTTTTAAAACGAAATTTAATGAAAACTAAACGCTCCCAGTGCCATTTAAAAACAAAAGCCGAACGAAAATGCTTCATTACGCAATAAGAGCAAGTTTACAGTCAAAACAGGAATTCCCACTTTCATTATTGTTTGACACTGGCTCATTCAACCTTTAGACTGACCATTAATACGTCCTCTTTCGAAATATGAAGTTTCTTCTGTTTCTACAATAGGAAGCATTAAGCCGTTTTTTTACTTTTGCATTTTTAAAATAATAAACAAAGCAAATGATAATTAGTTTACGTAAATAATACAAGAAAGCATTCAGAGAGTGTATATCTCCGCCAATGACATCGTCACTAAAAACTAAATGAAAATCAGTTTATAGAAGAAAAAAAAAGAAAATTTGGTTTAGTTTGTTTTGCCGTATATCAACATCAATGGGCTATTTAAAGCCGACAAGATTTTATTTTTATTGCTGCTAATTTTTTTTCAAAATGTATTAATATTTTTTTTTCAAATTTATACTGCTGGTAATAATTTTTTCTTTCAAAAAGGTATTACTGGTAATAAATTTTTTCAAAAAAAAAAAAAAAAAAAAAATTGGTATTAAAACCTATTTTTTCACTTTCATAGTGTTTTGACCCCAGTTTAGGGGTTAATTATTTGCCCATAGCTGGGACTATAACAGGTGCTACCACCCTGGGTCAGGGTAGACCTGGGAACACGAACAATTAAGAGGTGGTTCCGCGCTCCTCAAAACCCCCTGAAGAAAAGTTTCGATTTTTTAAATATATTTCGAACAATGGAAACTGTTCGTATGAAATCTTCGCAATAGTAGCCAGACTTTATGAATTCAAGCGCAGTACTAGATTGGCGGAAGGGTCTCACCAATTCATAGTTAAATTAGCTAGATGTAACCGTTAGTTCTATCTTAACAGTTTCTTTCTCGCACTTGTGGAACTCTTTTGGCTCGACGCTTTCAAGCTAACTTTGATCTTCAAATATTTTCATGCAATGTCAGTCGTTATCTACTGTATTCTTGATTACTTTTCTATTGTTCTTGCTCCTTCATAATGTTTCTATCTTCTATTCTTTCACATCCAGTAACCCCCTCCTGTCTTAGTGGCTTTACTGCCTTGCATGTAGGAAATGATTAGAAAACAAATTTAAATGCAATGTCAATCGTTATCTACTGTCTTCTTGATTACTCTTCTATTGTTCTCCTTCATAATGTTTCTCTTTTTTTAATCTTTCACACCCAGTAACCCCTTGTGTCTTAGTGGCTTTACTAACTTGCATGGGTTGATATGATTTAAAAAAAACTGTTTTAATTTAGGAAATCGAAAGAATATTTGAGGACCCGTCCCCAAATGTAATCGATTATTGCTTGGCGTCATGGCTTACCCTTCTATAAATGGGCATTTGAAATTCATTGAGAACTTTTGGAGATATTGTGTGAACAGACAAATATAGATGAATACATAACAATTAATGAAATAATGTATACATTATAAAACAATAAATAACGGTGTCTATCTAGGACCCGGATATATTAGTAACGTAATGGATATGGGCCAAGAAAGCGGAATCAGCAATCCGAGTTCAAATTCCAGCAGGTTTGTTGCGTTCTCTTTCGCACAAAATACCTTTAGAAAAGGCATGAATCTGTGTATTCTTTGCAGCACAATCTCTAGGTTAAATGGTAAGTTAAACTGTTTATTTTTCAGATTTTGGTGGAAAGCTTTGAATTCCAAACCGTTGAGAAGGAAACCACTCCACCATCTTTTGCATAATCATCTACATTTTGAACAGACATGGTACTCCTCACCGCCAAAAAAAATCCCTCAAATGATTATTTCGTTAGCGATTTTATCATAAACATTGGGAAAAGTATAAGTCAATATCTTCTATCGCCAGGTATGCGTAATTATAGCAAAGGGCAGAGAAGTCTTCTGATTATTTATGTCAACTGGTAAATATTAAATATCTTTTCTGAGTAAAGTAAGAGGGTCTGTTTACTTATTTACTTATATTTGCATAAATTAAAATGAAGCAGATTAACGAGAATCACCCACCCACACACACAACAAAAATTAAAATTGAATGAATTTAAAAAGCAAACGATTTAAAATATGTCACATTTCATAAGCCAAGCTGTAACTTGAGGCGAATTTCTTTACAGCTGAAGTGTCCTACTTCCGGCGGATGTGCCAGCTGAGCGTTGTTGTCGCAAGGGCGAATAACTCTCGTGGCCGGGCCGTGGGAGAAGTCTTCGGTCAACTTTCGCATCAAATCTCTCGAAATGTATTCGTGGTTTTTAGGCTTTAATCTATTGTTGTTAACTTGCGTGATTCTTCATATTCGTGTTTCTAGGGACATTTTTATAAATAGTGCCATTCATGGCAGCCCAAATTCTTCTTCTCACATGACCCCCCCCCAAACTACCCCTTCTCACTCAGTCTACAATCAGCGTTCGAGTGTCTCTATTCAGAGCGTTAATCACATTTTCTCAAACCAGAATTGCTGATTAAGCAAAGGCCAGAAAGACTAAAGCTTAAAAAAAATATAAAGTAAAAAAATCTCATATATATAATACGATAATGATAAGCAAGATCTTCAATCCTAAAAAAAAAAAAAAAAAGAAAAAAAAGTTTTAGATCAGCTAGAATAATGAAATTGGTATCAAACGGAATTTAATTCTCTTCAAAGTTACGTAGACGGATCAAGGAGATTGATATCGTCCGGTTCACACTCCTCCTCAGTGTTTTAAACAGTAGTAGAGGTTTATCCCTTGTTTCCTGTTTAGTATTAGACACATTCTAAAGTCTACTTCAGCTCTATACAACGAAAGCTTACACGTTGAAACACCGGTTACCGTACAATCGCCAACGTTAAGCAACGTCGAGCCTGGTCAGAATCTAGAAGGGTGACCGCTTGGGAATATCAGGTGATGTAAGCTTGGATGTGTGGGTGATGTAATGAATAACGGCTCACATTTGGAAATCGGAGAGCCGAGTTCTAATTTCAGTCGTGTTTGTTATATTCACTTACGTGCAAATAGCCAGTAAAAAGTTATGCATCCACATCTTCTCCTCCCAGTTATGGGTTAATTAGTAAAAGTTTTATCAATAAACCATTACTATCTCAAAAAATATTACAATATAAAAATATTTTCAGGCTTTAAATAACCTGCAAAGGGTTAATAAGCCGTAGAAAACGATTCACTCAGTCCATGAAATACTGATTAGCTCCAGACAGACATGATTTTTAGATTTATTTACATTCTCTGGAATTTAAATGTATAGAAAATACCGTGGCCACAAATTCAGGTATCAGTTTATGTACTGAATGTAATATAGAATTGATAACCGAATTTATATCCACATTATACTTTCTTGTTTGCTTATTAAATGCTGATTAGGTATGAATTCACCTATTTCCCCCTTGCTATGGATTAATTAGTAAGACTTGCATCGTTAAATCATTATTATAAAAAAAAAATCTTACAATCTAAAAATATTTTCTGGCTTTAAATTATCCGCAAAAGGTTGATAAGCCGTAGAAAACGAATCAATCAATATATACTTCTAACGTCTCCGCTTAAACTCTGAAATTAATACTATTATTGGATTTTCTGTTCATTCTAATGTCTTTTCCTTCTCTTCCTGTATCAGTCGTAGTAATATCAGTCAGCTGAGATCTTATGAAATGGAAAACAGCTGGATCTGTCAAAAATATGAATTCAAAACATTTATTTTCGACCGATGGTTATCAGTATCGTGAAGTGGGCTTCACAGGCGGTCCAGACAAAGAGAAAGCACTGTATGAAGAGAACTTACTTTTTCTTTTTTAGACAAAGACGACAAGTCAAAGATCCATATTAGCTATAAAACTGACCAGTATCCGCGAAAAGACACGGAGAGACGAAGTGGGCCTACGGAGAAAGACAGGACAGGGAAGACACCCGTTAGACTGTTCACCTCTCCACTCACATAGGTCTCATTTAAAGTTCTCTCCCCTATAGCAGTAGTTTAAAATTCCTTGAATAAAAAATCTGCCTACGACTACAGTCGCCTCATGGCCTTAATTTGTTGGTAAGGATCTGGCCAAAGGGTTATTTTTAAGCCACAAGTGTTTAACTGGAAGAAGATTCACCCATGAGAATGAAACAGGTCTGAGCTGTAACGCTACACTTAGTAATGTTATCGCCTTGCTTGTAGTAAATCGATAAAAAACAATGTAATGTCTATAATCCTATAAAAGTTTCAGACCAGATAAAGTAATGAAATTAGTATCAAAATTAAATAAAGTAATCTAATCCTAAGAATTTTTTTCCTGATTAGTTACTAAAATCAGTTACTAAAATCATTATTAAAATAAAGATTAATTTCTTTCTCTTTATTTTGCAACATCGTCGTCATTGAAGGCAACACATTTCACCAAACCTTTTATACTCCTTTTTTATTCTGTCCATGAAGTAAGTTTTAGGTTGATTCAAAAAAAAAAAAAAAAAGAAAGAAAGAGTTTACCTATATATGTTTCCGGATCTTTCCAGTGTGTCATCCATGTCAACATTTACAGAATCTCCGGCCATTTTCTTGAGTTGAACTTGTGGACAATTTCCGTTATAGGTTGGGCTGTTAGCGTCTCCGCGGTTCGATCTTGGGTCGTTCACGATGTAAACTCCAGATCGCATGGCGCGAGGTCGGAAAGAACCGGGAGACCACTGAACAACTGAAAAGAGCAAAGAAAACGTCCTGATTAGTGAATATGAAAATTTATATTGTCTGGCACAAGGTCACAACAGAAAGGAACTCAGGATCAAACTCGCTACAAGATCAATAGCCTGAAAACATTTTTAGATGATAATGTTTTGAATATAATGATTTACTGATACAAGTCTTACTAATTAACCCATAGCTGGGGAGAGAAGAGGTGAATAAATACTTTTCCTAAGAGTAAATGTAAAGAACCCGACTGTGGAACTGGGCTCCCCGATTTACAATTTCGTTATTCATTACACCACTGGCACACCCAAGCTAACAACACCTAGTGGTATTCCCAAGCGGTCACCCATCTAAGTACTGACCAGGTCCAACGTTGGTTAACTTCGATGATTGTACGGGAACCTGTGTTTCAACGTGGCCGTAAGCAGGAAATTGGGGATAGACATGATCGCCCGCCTCAAGTGGGGGACTTCGTGAAGTAATTTTGCAATTTTCATTGTCTTCATATAATATTAAAAATTGTGTAAAAAAGAAAGGAAAATGTTTCGCGTGAAATACGTTTATTATACAGGGTATCCATAAAGTTCGTGTGCACTTTAAAAAAAAATTATAACTTTATTTGTATTTGCGATAGAAATAATCTGTAAAAAAATGTTATAAGTATTTTTAAGTATAGCTAAAATAACTAATGCGATTTCAGGCATTACTGTAAATAACTAATGTGATTTCCGTGAACTGCAAAATCGTATTACCCTTTGTATTGCTAATGATGGAGCAAACTTAAATAAAATTTCAATAAAACTTTTAAAGTATAGATTTACTTCTTTCTAATCCTTTTTACAAATTATTTCTATCGCAAATACAAATAAAGTTATAAATTTTTAAAAGTGCACACGAACTTTATAGACACTCTGTATAAAAAATGTTTATACCGATATGAAAAATTTGTAATAAAAATATTCCTTTTAAAATAAAGAGATTATTTGATACTTTTCATTATTTTATTGCTGCAATGACTAATTTTTCCATTACTTTTCATCTTTTAATTTCGATATGATTTTCTCCTCAGCTTTTCGAACCAACGCAGAAACAAAAGGGAATTATTATTATCGACATGAGTTTAAACCCAGATTCATATACTATGATTGTTAATTTGAAAACTGATCAAGAAATTGCTTTTTTTTTTTAAAGATTTTAACCGCATTGTCATATTTTAATGGTATTGGTCTAGCAGAAATCACGCTACTATGGACCGTTTTTGCAGCGTTTACGGTAACACGTCCACTAATCGGATCATCAAGATGTAGACGATAGTGATTAGTCGCATGGGTAGGTATTTACTCAGCTTACTCTAACACAGTGATTCTCAACAGCCGTGTCTCAAAATATTATCCCGGCATACACGTGTGTGTGTGTGTGTGTGTGTGTGTGTGTGTTGTGTGTGATGGTATAAAAGCTGTACAAATTGTTGAATAGAAACATTGACATAAAGTAAGTTCATATTTGTGTACGTATTTTTAAAAAAATCTATGGTTATATTTCATAACATTTAAATGAATACCCTTTAAAAATGTTGCTAAGTGTGCCGTGATATTTTCATTTTCTCCTCGTTGTGCCGCTGCCAAAAAAGGTTGAGAAACACTTGTCTAACACAAGTCCACAAGAGGATTACAGAGATATCGCGTCGAAATACCGCTTCTCGTCAAAAATACCGAAGTTAAGCAGCTTTGAGCTTGGTCAGTACCTAGATGGGTGACCGCTTGAGAATACCAGGTGCTGTAAGCGCGGATAATAGCTCGGAATTGGAAATTAGAGGTCTAATTCCAGTCGGGTTCGTTATTTATTCACAAACGCAAATACTTTAGATGTTACTCTACTACTTCTCTCCCCAGCTACGGGTTAATTAGTAAGAATTGTATCAGTAAATCATTTTTATTTTCAAAATATTCTCTGGCTTGAAAAAGGTTGATAAACCGTAAAAAACAAATCAAAGTCCACAAGAATGAAGCAATCGATGACGTTCAAACTTACAATAATGTAGTAATGGTTTACTTAGCTCTCTTTTGAACGGGCGATTATCTTGATGATCAATGTATTGCATCGCCAAACATTAAAAACACACGCACAAAATTCTGATTTGTCGTTCTGTAACGAGGCTTCAATTATAATCCCTATAAGAAGAACCAGGTCAGCAGCATGAAAAGAAAATGAATTGTTTTTGTTTCATAAAAACTGAGACAATTACTTCACCGCCTGCGTAGGCAGAGGAAGAAAGAAACGCCCCATAAGTACATCTGCAGACAGCATATAAATCCCTTGTGAAACATCAAATACTCACTAAAACAGACGACAACTCAAATAAAAGATTAAATAAATTACCGTTAAGTCTCCACCGTGTGTAACAAGACGCGAATATAGACAAGATGCCAGATGGCATAATAAAGCTACATAAGCTTTCATATCATGTCTGTTTCTACCCATGTTTCTTTCAATTGTTCTAATTTTATAAATACCTGTCGAATGTTTAATATATAAAGCAGATATGGTAAACGGAACAAATTCTGACATTTGATGGTCCTTTCTCTCTTCCAGCTCCCTAATTTTGAAATGATAAAATGGAAGGCGTCTTCTTCTATGTGACGTGTACCCCTCCGTTCAGGATGTGGGTGAACCTGTCTCTCTACAACTTTTGTAGCTCTGTGCAATAACGCCCCCCACCCACTCTCTCCCCAATACTCTTTTGCCATCGATTTTCACTAGCTCTTTCTTTCTACCTCTCTTGCCTTCATTATCTCCTGTGAGTGTCAAATTCTCTAAACCCTTCTTTCTCACGTGTCCCGGAAATTTTAACACCCTCTTTCTAAGTATTATTAGCATAATTTTTTTTTCTATTTCCCTTACAAACTTCATCGCTATTCACGTACTCCGTTCATAGTATTCTCATCATCCTTCGGTAGAACCACATCTCTCTGTTGCCTCAAAGTCTTCACTTCATTTGTGAGGAAACTAACTATATAGGAAATTGCTCTGTTTCTTAAATACTTTATTATTTGGATCACGAGTTTGTCGTTGCTTTGAAATGTTTCATGCAACAAAAACAGACTATCATTATTGTTTCTTCCGTGTATTGTTTGATATATTGAAAAGTAATTGTCATCTTTGATAATGGCTTATGTAAGCCGAAAGCTTAGATAGGATTTAAACATGTATCAATATGGTGATTTCCTTTCGTCTTTCAATGATAATGTTATTAAGTTTATCAGACAATATGAAAGGAACTTACTTAAAATGAATAGACAAAACTTGTCTATATTATTTAATGAAAAATGCATCAATGAAAAACTGCAGCCTATATATAAACAAATGTGTGTGTGTGTGTATATATATATATATATATATAATTTTTTATTACCGCCCGTCCCCGTAAATAAATAGACTGTTCCGCTATCATTAGAGTACGATACAAATACCATTATTTCAATTAAGAAACGGTCACTTGTTAACTATTACTTGGGATGGTACTTGAATGCCTTCTCCAAGATTATCCTCCTGGATATATTCCATATCCACATGCCGTCAGTTTAAAATGTTTTTACTCTCCCCCATATATTCTTATCATTTTGTTTAAAGTACTTATTTTTTTGATGTCAAATGAAAACTTCGAAATTCTACATATTTCAGCGAAATATTAATTTCCCCGAATTATATTTTATAGTTGATAATTATAGTTCAGACATAAAGGAAAAAGAAGGCGTCGTCAATTTAAGCTGAGACCAGGCGGATATGGGTTAAAATAGGTTGGCGTTTGTCAGAAATAAGTCAATTTCATTGTATTTGCATCTGTCGCAGACTTTTTGATAGTAAACTTAACTAATTACTACCGAAGACCATATTGAGAGAAGGAACGTTCATGCTGTGCCAGGCTTCCTAATGGAGTGGACTCGTCTGTCTGCAACAAAAAATAGCATTTTGGATTCATACTCTATAACAATAGGACTCTTTTTCAACCAGAATATGTTAACCTTTTCACCAAGCCAGTAAAATTAAGAACGCATCTGACGCCATCTTTATGATTTTCTCTTTACGACATTTTAATTTTTTTTGTGGGGGCAAGACAAGAATGTTGGATTTTTTTTCTCTGATTTATGGCACATGAATAATAATAATAATAATAATAATAAACCCGTCTGTTTGTATTTTTCTTGCATTATTTGGGGAGACAGACGAAGGATGGATGCATGAAAATGTCATTTCTGTGAAACAAGCCCAGACAAGCAAATATAGAGTTTTTTTTTCTTCTCCTCTTTGACAGGAGCGTGAGAAATGTGGAGGTGGACGGGGGTTAATAGAACCAAATTCACAACACAGATAAGCTATAAGAAAAGAATATTTTTTGTTTCTGTCTTATTAAAACAATAACACAGATAACCTCGCCATATTAAAGCAATAATACGAATAACCTCATATTAAAACAATAATGCGGATAAGGTCGTAATATTAAATCAATAATATGAATAATGTTGCCATATTAAAACAACAATGCGGATAACGTTGTCATGTGAAAACGTAATGCGGATATGGTCGCCATATTGAAATAATAATGCGAATAACGTTGCCATATTAAAATAATGACGCAGATGACATTGCCATATCAAAACAATAATGCGGATAACAGCCATAATAAAACAAAATGCGTATAAGGTCACTATATTAAAACAATAATACGAATAACGCTGCCATATTAAAAAAAATTAATATGGATAACAATGCCATATTCAAACAATAATACAGATAACGATGCCATATTAAAACAATAATACAAATAACGAAAATTTTATATATATATATATATATATATATATATATTTAAATATGACGCATGTAGTATCCACCTCTTCCCATCGCTTCTGAGCTGAAATCATAAGAATATTCAAACAGACAGGTATTGAAGAAAGGGAGGAGGAAAGGGAAAGTATGAGAAAAAAAATAAACAGAAAGGAAAAAAGAAAGAAAGATTCATTTGCATAACGAAAGATTCCATTTAAAAACTAAACAAATCACTTGGATTTCGGATTTTTCATTGTCTGTTATAACATTTCCAGAGAGTTTAATTTCTATATTTGTTTCGTTTTCAATCCTTAGCTCGCATCTTGACCTGTTTTTATTGCTTTTCATGATGTCACTTTTTCATATAAAAAATCTATTTGTTGAATAATAAAAATGTAAACAAAACCAAAAATAAGGTTGTTTATTTTCCACCGAATTGGTCAACATTTAACCACAAATAACACAAATTCTGTTGATTTTATGATCATAGTTCTAATGTGAATATTAACCAGCATTCAAAGAGCTTTCTAAAGACTGGAAGATATGAAAATGATATCGTATAGTGGCAAATACCAAAATGCGCCATTTTGAATTTTGTAACTCAGGCCACAGTCAAAAGTTCACCACAAAATTTTGTACATATCTTTCCACAGAGCAAATTTTTTGTCAAATTTAAAAAAAAAATGAAACATAAGTTTTTGAGAAATTAAAGGTCAAATGTTAAGGTCAAGGTCAAATTATCTTATTTGATTTTTAAATAAAAAATAAATAGATCATCTTTTAGATCTATCCAATTACTTTAAAATGGTATATTATTTATCTTTGTGGGCGAAGAAGCAATTGATATTTAAACTTTGTGATTATTTTCCAAAATTCACCTTTTTGGCAAGGGTCAAAGGGTCATAGCTCGGGAACGCTTTGATCTAGAGATATAAAATAGGTACCATTCAATGTCGACCAAGAAGCTCTAGAAGTGTATCAAGTTCAAAGAAAAAAAAATCTGTCGGTGATGGTCAGACCCTTGTTGATTTGACACGTAATGACTCTCATGCCTTTTTCAAGTGCATTAGCGCGAAGTGAACGAAACTGATTAGGTTGGAATTTGAACTCGATTTCAATTTTAATGTCGATAATCTTTACACCATCTACACACCCGAATCTTAAATAAAAATAGAAAAAAAAATTTACAAAAATGAAAAAAAAATAAAATAAAACGAAAACACAAAACAAACAAAACATTGTAAATTTTGTGCCATCAGTGAGTAAAAATGAGGTTATGTTTCAACGATGATTTATGTTAAGTATTTTTCTGGCTTTTAAATGTCTGTCTATAGTCATTGTAACTTTCAAAGGCCGTGAAATGAGCGCCAATTCTAGAATGTGACACCCTTGAACGAATCCTTAATAACGCATTTCCCATTCTTAACATTGCTTTTCCTAACTGGAAACGAAAGCACGTCTAACAATTTCCAATGAATCACTTATATATTCCATCTGGTGGAACTGACGCCATTTTTAGCCATTTACCTACCCATCCGTCAGCCTTGCACCCAGATCGGCAAGATGATAAATACGTGGCGGATATTAGATTTATCTTAAGCCTGACGTGCGAATTTGTGTCTGCGAAACCCTGAGTCGCAAGATAAGTCATTGAACATTTTATTTATCAATTCACTATTAATGCTTAAAAAAAAAAAAAGAAAGAAAAAAACAAATTTGGGAACTCTATTTAAAAAATCTGATTGGTTGATTCGTTTTCTAAGTTTTATCAATACAATAGACCGAACGTGTGAGCAACGAGGAAGTTTTAAAGAAAATGGACACAAAAAGGAGACTCGAAAAGAGACAGTTGACATTTCTAGGATACGTAATGGTTGATTGACACGTTTTCTACGGTTTATCAACAATTTGCAGGTTATTTATGGCCAGAAAATAATTTTAGAATGTAATTTAAAAAAAAAAAAAATAATAATGATTTAGTATTTACATTAGTCGGACTATTGTCGCCATATTTGTCACAACGTTTCGGCCGTTGTACGCTCCGGCCTTCTTCAGGTGGTTGGAATTTCGAACTGAACCCTTTATTTCGATCACTGGGGTAGACTGTCCTAGTTCCACGTGCCATGTTTGATGGATGTCAGTTATCAGTTATCTCCTGCTAATTTTCCCTCTGAAAGTTCTCCACTGCCTTAACCAGGTATTGAACTCACCTTCTTTTGGGTCTGTCACTGGATCTAACCAACGCCTTTATCCACTGTGCCATGTGTCCTTGAGGACACATGGCACAGTGGAGGACAATAGTCCGACTAATGTAAATACTGTACATAATACCTTATCTCAGAAATATAGACAGACGAATAATGATTTAGTCATTCATGTCTTATTAATTAATTAGTTGAGGGGAGATGTAGATACATACCTTTCCCCATATAGTACCTTTGACTATAACGAATCCAGTTGGAAGTGGAACTCAGCTCTCC